GCCGCCGCCTCGCCCGAGATGGACCTGCCCGTGGGCCCCGGCGCGGCAGGGCCCAGCAACGTCCCGGCCTTCCTGACCAAGCTGTGGACCCTCGTGAGCGACCCGGACACCGACGCGCTCATCTGCTGGAGCCCGGTGAGCGGCCGCGCGGCGGGCGGGCCAGGGTCGCGGGCCAGACTTGACCGACCTGAGGCCTGGGCGGGGGCGGAGCGGCCCCGGCCTGGAGCGGAAGTGCGCGTGCCCTTCATCGGAGCGGCCCGGCGAGGAGCAGGCCCGGCCGAGACGCAGGGCGTTGCTGTGCAGGGAAGGAAGGGCCGGCCGAGGAGAAGGCGCCTTTGTGAAGTCAAGTGGTTTCACTGCCCGGGGGGCGTCTTCTGCCGCCGCAGGCCAGTGCCTGATACACCTGCGAGGCTGGGCAGCCTCGGTTTGCAGAAGTCACTGAGCGCCGGTGGGGCTGGGGTCAGAGCGTGCTGTCCACATCCTGGCTGTGACGTTGCGTCCGGTCGGGCTGGCAGTTGGTGGCCTTGAGAACAGGCCTCACGGGTCTTCTGAGCCTCAGGAGGGACCATGACAGGGCGGTGCCACCACACACGTGTGCCCCCGCCAGCGAGCTGTCCAGGAGGCCCCCAGCCTGCAGGCTGCCGAGTCTCCCGGCCGGCCGGCGTGGAGAAAAGGCAGGACTGCGGTGGGCCCCGCTCGGGCAGTATTCTCCCCGCTCCCAGCTGTTCGTGAAGTTGTTTTGTCTGAAGAGCGTTTGAGATGAAGGGCCTAGGAGGCAGTCCTGCTCCTGTTCGAAACGGCTTCCCCGCAGCCCTGCCCCACCCCCGGTTCCCCGGACCTCGGCGGGAGGCTGGCTCCCAGTCCTCTCCCACCGCCATCGTCCCCCTCAGCTGTCCCCGCCTAGGGCAGGCCTGGGGAGCTTCCAGAGTGCTGCGAGCTGAGCTTAACCCTGCTGGGGTGGCCATTCTGCTCCAAGTCTGCAGGCGTGTGGGCGCAGCGAGTTCTGGACAGGGCTTTTGAGCGGGAACGGCGGCTCTGGTCAAGACTGTGGCCACGCCTGATCTCTGGAGGGTCAGGACCAGAGTTTGGCGCTACCTGATGAGCGCTTTAGTGAGTGATGCACCCAGCCCAGTCCAGCTCTCAGAGGCCTCAGAAGGCTCAGTCCCCGGTACCCTTCATGCCCTGTTCCCACTGCCCTGACTCAGGGAGGGAGAGTCAGAGGCCCCGGGTCAGCCCCGCAGGTCTGAGGGACCCTGTCGGCCAGCCTGCCTCAGGGACTGTGTAGCTGTGCTCCTGGAGAAGACCTGCGCTGGCCATGACGTCAGGGTGTCCACGGGACCCTGGGGAGGGTCTCCGGTTATGGGCCTTCAGCAGCATTTGCAGTGCCTGGTCCCAGAGGTGTGCCTGGATGGGGTCCCGGGTACCTTCTTCCTTTCTTAATTACTGTGTATTTTTCCTTTTTTTTTTTTCTTTGAGAGGTTTTTGCTACAGGGCACATACACTGCACAGAAAGAGACAGAAAGTGAGAAAGTACCCCCCCAGGGGGAATGGCCACACCACAAGTTCTTCTCCATTCTCTTCTCTGCATCCTGGGCACACGTACGCGCGCGCACACACACGTGCCCGGCGTCAGTTCAAGCCACTGGGTCCAGGACTTGAACCGCGGCTGACTACATGGGAGTCCCATGACGTAGCCATTTCGCCATCTGCTGGTCCTATTATTGTTACTTTTTAATTTGCTATAGGGCATTTGTGCTCACCAGAGCAAGAAACAGAGAGAAACAGAAAGCAAGCCACCAGGTCCAGGACTCGAACCACAGTCAGACATGTGGGAGGCCAGTGCCCTAACCCCCACACCTCCTGCCGGCCCACTTTTGTTTTGTCTTTTTATTTCTGACAAGTGAACACATTTCAGTCAACAGATGTTTAGAAAATTTAACTTATTTGTGAATGCCTGGCCGGACAGACCCAGGTCCCACCCCAGGAGCCTCCAGCAGGGGGACCTGAGGACAGACCAGGTCTGTGGGAGGCAGATGCAGGGCCACTTGCTGGGTGCAGGCGAGGATGAAGCCAGGACCCGTGTGCAGGCTCCAGGCCTCTCTGGCCTCGGCCTGGCTCTGGCCCATGGTGCAGTCCTGTCTGGGAGCAGGGATGACACTGGGTGCCTTGGCCCCAGGACAAGAAGCTGGAGGTCCCAGGCCGCCGTGTGCCGGCAGTCAGACAGGGGCCTGCGGTGAGGGGCGGCACCCTGAAGAGATCACGGGGCAGAGCCCTCGCCCTGACGCCTCTGGAGCGGACAGGCCCTGGCAGGCCCGCCAACCTCGCCCTCCATACCTGGCAGCGAACTGCAACACTACAGGCCGCCATTCCCCCACCCCACCCGCAAGGCCCACTGGCCTGAGTGGAAGCAAAAGCGCTTATGAGAAAGGTGAGAACAGGCAGCTGGGCCTATACCCAGCACAGGACTGACTGGGCCCAAGGCGGATTGTCGTGCTGAGGCCCTGCTGTGGCACTATCTCTCCCTGTCTCTGTCTCTTGTTTATAAAGAGAAATGAACTACTTTTTTAAAGATTTATTTATGTATTTTATTTTATTTGTTATTGTCATTTATTTTTTAAATTTGACCAGAGAGAGGCAGAAGAAGAAAAAGGGAAAATGAGAAAGCAAGCCGTCAGGTCCAGGATTTGAACCATAGTTGGCCATGTGGAAATCCAGCACCCACACCCCAGCCACCATGCCACCTGCGAGCCCCAAGAAATTAATCTTTCTTTTTAGAGAGACATTTTTGCTATTTTTGTCCCATTTTTTTAAAAGTTCATTTTTTGGTGACCAGCAGATGGCATAACGGTTACGTCCTTGAACTCCCACAAAGTCGACCACAGTTCAAGTCCTGGACCCTCCTTGGGGTTCTAGGCATGCGTGCACACCTGCTGGGGTGTCTCTCAAGCTGCAGCCATGAACTTGAACTGCATAGTCATGTAGGCTCCACCCCTGACCCCATGCCACCAGCAGGCCTCTTCTTGCTTGCTCGATTATTTATTTGCTTGTGTATTTACTAAGAGAGATTTTTGCTATCGGGCGCATGCATTCACTGGAGAAAAAGACAGAAAGCAAGAAACCAGCCCCGGTGGTGCAGGACGGCCACAGTCCCTTTTCCAGCCTCTCAGCATGCATGCATCAGAGCCCCGTGTGAGTTTTAAGCTGCAGGGTCTGCTGGACATGTGCGGCGGGCTCTGGCCTTGAAGAGCGCACCCAGAGCTGCCCGGCATCGTGTGTGCACCGAGATCCTGGGTCGCTCGAGGGCCCGTGCTGAGGGACACAGGCCGCAGCCGCACCTCAGCACCCTCTCCCAGCCTTGCTGTGTCCAGGAACAGGCTTCCTTGTACCCCAGAGAGGCCGCAGCCTCTGCCTGTGGTCAGCATAAGGGGCCTTGAGCCCGGGAGGCAGAGAGAGGACACCTGGGGGTCTCTGATCACGCCCCCCCCCCACAGACCCCCCGAGGCTCATGGCCCATAAGCTAGAACTTGCCAGCATGTTCAGCTTGGACCCAGCCTGCAGCCATCAAAACCGGCCCACAGCACCCCGGCGTGGGCACTGCGGGCAGTCCAGCGCTGCCCCAGTGTGTGTGGCGCACGTGCAGGAGGGAGCCAACCCCGACCAGGGCCCTAGCTACTGGAGCCTATGAAGTGGAGCCTGAGAGGGAAGGCACCCCGCAGCCTGGTTGCTCGTGGACACTTGCAGAGCTGGGCCAGGGCCACCTTCGTGGCAGAGAAGGACTGGTGAACAGCGCGCCCGGAGGGGAGGCCACAGCACCTGGACCACCGAAATCCCAGACAAGTGGGACCTCGCAGGCCACCCACACGGGCGCTGCCAGTTCGCAGCCAGAGACCTCCCTGAGTGCGCTGAGCGCGGAGTGCCCAGGACCCAGGGCCGGCTGGAGGTGGGGTGAGCCGTGTGCCAAGACTCTGTTGGGTCCTGTCCGTCCTCTCTCTCTCTCTCTGAGCATTTCCCAGTTAACTTTTTCATTGCCAGAGGGCACCTATGCTCACCAGAGAGAAGAGGCCATGAGAGACAACACCCCCTGGTGGGGCACAGTCACACTGCAGTCCCTTCTACTCTGGTCAGGGTTTGAGCACACATGAACCCAGAATGTTGTGTTTTTGGTTTGTGTGTGTGTGTGTCTGTGTGTTTTGTTTTGTTTTGTTTTGTTTTGTTTTGTTTTGTTTTGTTTTGTTTTGGAGAGGTTTTTGCTATAGGGCATGTGCACTCACCAGAAAAACAGAGAGACAGAAAGCGAGAAATCACCCCTGAGGGGGGCTGGCCACACCGTAGTCCCTCCTCCTCCATTCTCCTCTAGGGATCTTGGGCACGCATGCACATGCACCCGGCATGAGTTTAAGCCACCGTGTCTGGGATTTGATCGACTACATGGGATTCCAGCGACATCACCATCAAACTAACTGCTGGTCCCCCTGAAGACTTAGATTTAGACAGAAAATATAAATCTGTCAGTTCAAGAAGTTCGGACCAAAAAAGATAAGCTGCAGCCGGCCCCGTAGCCTAGTGGTTAAGAGAGCTGCGAGCCACGTGGCCGAAGGTGGTCTGAATCCCGGCTCTAATAACTTACGAACAACACATTGGGCCAGCCAGTGGCATGGTGGCTAAGGCAGCAGGAACCACCTGGCTAGCTGTGCAGTGTGAGTCCCAGACCTGGCATGTATATGTGTGTGCCCAACATCCTGAAAAAGGGAGAGATGGAGGCAACAGGAGTGCTCCCGGCGGACACGCGTGCACGGCCATCCCCCCAGGGGTGCTTTCTCACTTGACCTCTCTCTGACGAGTACACGCTCCTTTATAGCAGCAACTGAAATTTGACAAAGAAAACAGAGTCTTGCTGGAGATAGCCTTCTTGACGAGCGTCTTGCTTTTAGTCCAGCATTTTTAAGAGATTTTTGCAGGGCTGGCAGGAGGTATGGTGGTTAAGGACACTGAACTCCTACACGGTAGCCTGCGGTTTGGATCCCGGATCTGGCAGCTTGTTTTCTCGCTTTCTCTCTGTCCCTCTCTGGTCAAATTTAAATAAATAAATACAATTAAGTTCAATACGCTAATTCTAAAAAAACAGATTTTTGCTA